CCTCGCGCCATACTTAGCTGCTGAGTGATGTCTCTCCCAGGAGGTTGCAGCCCCAACCGCAGGGCCATCGTTTAGTGAACATCTATCTCAACCCCTTTTCCCAGAGTCTAGCAAAATGCCCACATGTGGTGAATATGTAATAAGTGCCTGTGGCACGAAACAAGCTGAATCTCACGTTACCCAGACTGCAGGCCACACAACCTGGCAGCTCCAAGCAGCGAGAGAAAGAACAGCCCTCGCAGCAGGCACACGATGGGAATAAACAGGTGCGCTCCCTCCCACGGGGGGCTGGGTGTCAGCAGAGCTCTTCCCAGTGACTTCTGGAGACCTAGGGCCCTGCATTTTCCAAAGCCCATGGTCTCTCCCCCACGTCCATCTCCAAGCAGAGTGCAGGAGGCCGACTTCCAGATAATTACATGAGCTCAGATCACTCAATTGGCTTCTGTGAAATTGACTATAAAGAGGGAAATCATCAAGCATAAAGATCCCAGGAAAATTACCCTAAAGTACCGCATCCGGCCCAGCCTGGGAGAGAGCTTACTGCTCGTGAGCAGCCGTGAGCCCCCAGCTCTCCTGGGCACCTGAGGCAGGGGGCAGCTTCAGGGGCAGGCCTGGGCCTGGGCACCTGCATTTTAACAACCATTCCGTGCTTTGATGCAGGCGGTGAGAAACACATCTGCAGGGCAGCACTGTTCCGCCCTAGGGTCCCCATCATGGAAGACACAGCTGTGTGACAGCTGGTGCTGTGCTCAGAGGTCCATGAGGAGAGGGTACGGAGTGGGGGAAGGGGCACAGAGATCCAGGCCTGGAAGGAGTTCCCACGCTCTCAGTCCCAGGATCTGCCTCCATCTGCAGTAGGCATGAACAGCTCTCCATGGACCACAGACTCGACTTGCATTTCTACCAGCATGGAGCATAGTTGCACAGGAAACCTGGGCCAGAGATTTCGTAGTCAAGGTTTCTTTAATCTTGGAAGAACCCTGGAGGTCCAAGTCAGTGCCAACTTGGATTCTGGATGATGTGCAAACTTGAACCAGGAGCTGGAAGCAAGCACAGAGCTGCAAGGCACTTTGCTTGCTCCAGGTAGACCCTAGACTACTCCTGGGGGGTCCTCAAGGTGCAGGTCTTTCCCCATGGTCAAGCAGGACTCGACTGCCATCGAAGTGCCAAGGGTCATTTCTTTATTTTTCTTTTTCTCTTTATTTATTGGACAGATAGAGTTAGACAGTGAGAGAGAGAGAGACAGAGAGAAAGGTCTTCCTTTACCATTGGTTCACCCCCCAAATGGCTGCTACAGCCAGTGCTACGCCGATCTGAAGCCAGGAGCCAGGTGCTTCTCCTGGTCTCCCATGCAGGTGCAGGGACCAAGGACTTGGACCATCCTCCACTGCCCTCCCAGGCCACAGCAGAGAGCTGGACTGGAAGAGGAGCAACTGGGACAGAATCCGGCGCCCCAACCGGGACTAGAACCTGGGGTGCCGGCACTGCAGGCAGAGGATTAGCCTAGTGAGCCACGTCACCAGCCCCTGGGTCATTTCTTTCCATATCCAAGCAAGCTCATTATGTGAGTCTCTACAGAAGTGTTGAAACATCATTATCAGGGAACATGACTGACAGGTGCCTGCTCTCCAGGGGCTTATGCCCTGATGGAAGACACGGAGGCAGACAAATGAACAGAGGCAGCTCTGCCAGTCCATCCAGGCTGCTCTAACAGAACACCATGGACTGTGTGGCTTAGAGACACCAGTAACTTATTTCTCACGGTTCTGGAGGCCAGGTAGTCCGGTGCCCACAGCCTCAGAGTCAGGTGAGGGCCCGGTCTCGATGCTGCCTCCTTACTGTCCCCCTGCCTGGTAGAATGAGCCCCCATCCTCAGAGCACCAACCCCGTCACTAGGGAGGACTCCACTCTCCCGACCTCACAACCTCCCCCAAGCCCCGCCTCCTCACTCCATCACAGTGTGGGGTTAGGGTTCAGTATGCAGGTATGGAGCAAACAAACGGTCAGACCATGGCACTGTCCCATGCCGAAGGCTGCATGAGGAACATAAAATGGGCCGTGTGGTCAGTGCGACTGGGGACACACTACATTTCAGGAACATCTTCTCTGAAAAGGTGACTTTAAAGAGCCAGCGACACAAAGATCCAGAAAGAGAAAATATAAAGTTCAGAACAAGTACACAGAGGCCAGCTCATGGCAAGCCCTGTAAGCCAGGGTTGGTTTGGATAATTTTAGAAATGGCAGCACCAGGAGAGGAGACAATTTGGCAAAATGCCTCAAACCACCTCCACTCTGCTTCCTGATTTCCCCCATCACCTAACATTTCCTCGAGAGGCATTGTGTCCAGCAAAAACCAAGCCTGTGTCTCTCAGCACCCTCTGCAGACAAGAGCAGCTGCATTTCAATCCATGAACCATCAAGTCCTGGTCTATGATTGACCCACAAGTAGAAAGAAGTTGTTGGGCAGAAAACAGGAGTGAGAGCTTCAGTTTCCTACATGGTGGGAGAGGTATAGGAGGAGGCTAAGTCAGTTGATGAGTATCTTTGCCCTTCCTAGTTCCTCTTTCTGCCTGGAACTTGGATGTGATAGCCAAAGCTCCAGTGGCAGAAGTGTGGTCAAGAGACTACCTTAAGATTTAAAGCCCTGTGGCGTAGTAGGTAGAGCCACCGCCTGCAGTGCCAGCATCCCATATGGGCGCCTGTTCAAGTCCCAGCCACTCCTCTTCTGATGCAGCTCCCTGCTGAATGGCCTAGGAAAGCAATGGAAGATGGCTCAAGTCCTCGGGCCCCTGCTCCCACGTAGGAGACCTGGAAGAAGCTCCTGGCTTCGGATCAGCGCAGCTCCGGCCATTGCGGCCAATTGGGGAGTGAACCAGCAGAGGAAGACCTCTCTCTGCCTCTCCTTCTCTCTGTGTGTAACTCTTTCAAATAAATAAATAAATGTTTTTTAAAAAAGATTTGAAGCCCTACACAACGAATGACAGAACAGAAAATGTGTAGGAGCCTGGGGCCTGGGTTACTTTATGGGATCTCCATTCTATATGTGGATTTCTCATCCATAGATTTCTACTTAGGGGAGAAAAGCAAATTCCCATTTTGCTTAAGACACCATTTTTTGAGTCTACATTATTCATAAACTTAATATCTTATACTTCCCACACTTCTAATTTGAAAGCTTGACTGTGTTCCCAGGTTCCAGCTGGAAACAGAAGCATCTCTCAAGACAGTGCCTGGGTCTCATTCCTGCCCCTGCTCCTGCCCCTGCTGCCCCGGGATTGGCAGGTGCCAGTCCCTGCCTCCTCATTCCCCTGACGTCATGGGCAGAGCGCTGGGGGCACTGGTTTACTCCTGCAGGTGCTGTGTCGTGCACTCCCAGAGCAGCTGACGTCTCTGGTCCAGCTAAGGGGAACACAGTGGACTCCCCGGAGAGTAAATGCTGCCTCCTGTAAGGCCCCACCTATGTCGCGCTAGATTCCTAACCACAGTGATGGGCAACTGGAGGCAAAAAATCACCCGGAAGAAACCCATAGAATGGATTTAATTATACTATCTAAATTCTCAGGGGAATTAATTAAAATGCAACTGTTCCTACTGGGAAGTGTCCAGACATGCTCAGGCCAGCAAGCTGCAGTCAGAACACCACATGTGCAGTACAACCACAGTGGGAGAGAAGGAGGAGGCAGTGTTAGGCTTGGGAGGAGACTTTTGGTAATGATTAGATTTTCTGGTGGTGAGTGTGGTCAGACTTTGATTAGCAGTGTATTTATTTACTTATTTTTAGTGGAAGAAAGCAAGAGTTTATTTGGAGTCAGGCAGCTCCAAACTCCCCAAGGGATTAAAGGAAGTAGAGTGGGGGAAGGAATCTCACAGATTAAAGCAGGGCCGAGGCAATGCACTGTCAGCTCCCGGGTGGGTCTCCGGTTGGTCCACAGTGCCGGTGGCCTTCCTGGAGGGTCAGGGACAGGAGGCCAGCAGGTTTCTCTCACGATGGCAACGTGGCGAGAGGACCAAGGGCAGAGATCTCGTGTCACTCAGCTCCACGCTCTTCCTGGAAACCCATGGCTAGAGGACACGGCTCTCACGCAGCCACAACGAGGCTCCTAGCACTAGAAATGAACTTGGCCATGCCGGAGGAGCTAATCTGAGGGACTGTGCACTTCTGCCAGTGGAGGCCTCACAGCACTCTGGACAGGGCCAGTCAGGCAGCACACTCCCACCCCTGCAACTCACCAGCCAGAGGAGCCCCCACCCCAACCTCCACCCTTTCCCAGGGCAAAAGGGGGTGGGCAGGTGGGGGCACAGCCAGACGTTTGCCACACCCAAAAGCCTGTGCCCAGGTAAACCACAGAGCCTCACCTACAGCAATCAGCACATTTATTTAAAACATTATCTGGTTATTAGGTTGCTTCTGGTAAGGATTTTCTTTTCTGTCAGTATCCACAGCAAATTTAAAATTATTCCTCATACTGAAGAATTCAGACTCCCAGGCAGAACTCACAACCTCTGTTTTCACAGGAAAGAAGAATGATGGCACCGTATTCTTCCTAAAGGCCGTGCAGGGCAAGTCGGCTCAGAAAGCAAACTTCAGGGAATGAAATGCAACTGATCTCTAAAGAAACAGTTCTCGCAGAATTGCATTGTTACCTCAGTCGCTTGCCACCCAGTCAGAACCCTTCTTCAGAATACTATCCAGACTTCAGTACCTGTGTTTACGTAAATGTGACTTAAGTCATTGAAATATCAGATTCAAATCAGGAAAGCTGAGACTGTCCAGTACACCTATCCGACCACATCAGTCAAGGTGCCACAGAAAACCAGACAGAGGAGAGACAGAAATACGCATGCAAATACACAGAACTAAAGAGGTTTATTGGAAGGAATTAAGGCCCCAGCCTTAAGTTGCTGGGGCCCAGGCCTGCAAACCCCAGGCAGGGGTGGATGCGTTGTCCTGAAGCAGAATCTCCTCTTCTGTTTTCGCTCTGCAGACTCCAGCTGATTAGATAAGCCCCTTGCCCACATCCCTCCCTGCTCTCGGCCCCCAACACACACAAACAAGGCAACCTCCTTCTTTAAGTCAACCGAATGCAGGGGCCAATCACATCGCACGCCAGATCTTCAGAGCCACAGCCAGATCACCATCTGCTGACACTACTGGTCTTGTCACCCCAGGCTGGTCAAGGCGCCACAGGAAGCTCACACTGGCAGGAGTGTAGCACAGCCTGAGACTCATTTCAGAGCCCTCCTCCATGCCAAAGTCCATCCACCCAAGACGATTACTGGGCAAGATCATAAAAAATAATGTCATTAAATAGCCTCCAACTCATTCCTTTTGCCAAAATACTTGTAACTTCATATGTATGTGTCTGTCTGTATATACAGGTATGTGCATCCATGCGCACGCGCACAGTCTGAAACACATCATTTTTTATGTGTCCCAAAGGTGCTCCAATGAATTTTTGCAAAACCATGTGCCTACCCATTTTCCACTCCCCAAACTGGCTGTTTTTAGTGAATATTTTAAAACACTTTTCCTATAAATGATGCTTTCAGTTCATTACCTCTCTCTCTTCCTGTCATAATGATGATATTTAACTTGCACTTTCATTTCAAGCCATTATGTGGTTATGGCTTAGATCCTGCAAACTAATCTGCCCCTCAGACATAAGTGCATCTGCCGTTTTAGAATGCAGAAAGAAAAATATACGTGCTAACTCATAGCTAAGCCACGACTGCAGTGCAACAGGGTGTTTGTGATCCAATAGCCCCTGACTCAATGTCTTTGAAAAATGTTAATTTCTTTGAGAGAGAGACAAAGATAAACAGAGAGAGATATTCCATCCACTGGTTCACTCCACAAATGCCCTCAACAGTCAGTTCTAGGCCAGCCCAAAGCTGAGAACTCAACCTGGGTCTCCCACATGGGTGGCAATGCTGTCTCCCAAGGTGCACATTAGCAAGAAGCTGGATCTGAAGCAGAGCCAGGACTCAAACCCAGGAAGTTGTGCATGGGATAGGGCATCCCACTTGGTATCTTACCGCTAGACCAAACGCCCAGCCCAAATGTGGTTAAAAATAAGAGTAGACAAGAGACTCAGTTTCCATGCACCCACAGTGAGGCTGGGTCAGATGGCCCTTATGCAGCCCCTATGCAGCACTACTAAGGACACGGGTGGGGGTGGGGGGCATGACCATCCCCAGTGTTTATAGAGGCCTCATTTTTAAAGTAAAAAATTCAGTGGAAATCTTTGCTTACCCAATGATCATCTATCTCTTTTCCATATTTTTTATGATGGTCATCACTATTAGCTAACACCCTGGACAAGTTATAACCCTGAGTGATTTAATTCATTTTAGAATAATCCCTCCCATGCCTACGCCTTCTGAAGACAATGCAACAAGAGGGCACCAATTCGCGAATGCTTACAAAACAGAACACCAGGTCCCAATTCCCTCCTGTGCTCTCAGAAATCAGAAATCATCACTGGACCTACTCTCTGCAGTTGCCAGGGGGTCTTCTCCCTCAGGCCCCCGCAGGGTGATGACTGACAGCCTCTTTGGTTCTAGCTGATACTCAATACACTGACATCATCTCGGCAAAAAAAAAAAAAAAAAAAAAAAAAAAAAAAAAAAAAGTCCCTGGCTTTTCCAAAACATACTCCTCCCCTTTATTGGCATTTATGTAGTTCCTTTACACCAGTGTAAAAAGTGTCTCAGAGCCGGCGCCGTGGCTCACTAGGCTAATCCGCCTTGCGGCGCCGGCACACGGCGTTCTAGTCCTGGTCAGGGAGCCGGATTCTGTCCCGGTTGCCCCTCTTCCAGGCCAGCTCTCTGCTGTGACCCGGGAGTGCAGTGGAGGATGGCCCAAGTCCTTGGGCCCTGCACCCCATGGGAGACCAGGAGAAGCACCTGGCTCCTGCCATCAGATCAGCGCTGTGCGCCAGCCACAGCGCACTGGCAGTGGCGGCCACTGGAGGGTGAACCAACGGCAAAGGAAGACCTTTCTCTCTGTCTCTCTCTCTCACTGTCCACTCCGCCTGTCAAAAAAAAAAAAAAAAAAAAAAAAAAAAAAAAAAGTGTCTCAGTATACATACAACCTGAATCTGTTTGCCTATAGTTGGAGTTCCTGATAGTTGGAGCTGTTTTGTTGTTTTTGCTTTTAATAATTTGGAGTTGCTTTCATTGAATGATTTCTATTTGATCTGGAAAATAAACAAGACATTGTAACAAGACAATATTCAGACAGGCTTACCAATTTAAACAATGTTTGTCTGCGACCTTAAGGAGTTGTGTAACTTGGAGCCGGCGCTGTGGCACAGCAGGTGAAAGCCCTGGCCTGAAGCACTGTCATCCCACATGGTTGCAGGTTCGAGTCCCAGCTGCTTCACTTCCCATCCAGCTCTCTGTGATGGACTGGGAAAGCAGCAGCAGATGGCCCAAGTGCTTGGGCCCCTGCACCTATGTGGGAGACCAGGAAGAAGCTCCTGGCTCCTGGATTTGGATCGGCCCAGCTCTGGCCATTGTGGCCATTTGGGGAGTGAACCAGTAGATGGAAGACCTCTCTCTCCTCTCTCTTTCTCTCCTCTCTCTCTCTCTCTCTCTCTCTCTCTCTCCGTAGCTCTTTCAAATAAATAAAATAAATCTTTTTTTAAAAAAAGAAGTTGAGCAACTAGAAGGTGAATTTGAAGTAGAATGACTGCAGCGATGTGCCTGAGAAGCTACACCGTCCTAACCAACACTAACCATGGCCAGCAGGTAAGGCCACCACCTGCAGTGCCAGCATCCCACGTGGGTGCCAGTTCCTGTCCTGGCTGCTCCACTCTGACCCAGCTCCCTGCTAAAGGCGTGAGAAAGCACAAGATGACCTATGTGTTTGGGCCTCTGCTACCCACGTGGGAGACCCAGATGAAGCTCCTGGCTCCTGGCTCCTGGCTTCTACCTGGCCCAGTCCTGGCCATTGTGGCTATCTGAGGAGTGAACCAGCAGATGGAAACTCACTCTCTCTCTCTCATTCTTGCTCTTGCTCTCACTCTCACTCTCTCCTCCCTTTCTCTCTGACTTTCAAGCAAATAAATATATCTTTTTTTTAAAAAAACTAACCATTTTCATAATTTTAGAATTTGTCGTTCTTACTGGGTGTGTAGCCCCTTGACAGAGACAGGTGCATAAAAATCAGTATGAGCTCCCTGGCCCAGCGCTGGCTGCTGCAGACATCTGCTGAGCAAACCAGCAGCTGGACTATGTCTCTAACTCTGATTTCAAAATAAATAAATAAATAAATCTTTTTAAAAAATCAATAGGAACTGGAGAGCAAGTGAATGTTTTATGAGAGATTCAAAAGGTACAATAAGTCCACCTTTTTTTTTTCACAATTTTGTAACACTTTCTCATGTTGGTCAGAGTTTACAATTAAAATACACTTTCCTTTCACGTTAGCAGCTAACGAGCTGCCCACATCCTGAGCACCACAGGAAGGCCTTCAAAAGTTCCTGATTGGCAGCTGCCAACACACTGGAACGGGGAGCATCTGAGCAAGGCTCCACATTTTCCAGAAGGGTCTCCCGGTCATGCTTGGGGATAAGGCACAGAAATACTGCCAGTACTTAAGCACTATTTATAAATAGTTGACTAAAGGCAAGTATCAAGGGTCACAATCTTGCTTAAAGGAACCAGGCAGCACGATAAGGCTGAGGGTGCAGAGGAAGCGAACGAACGTGAGGTTGGGGGGCCAGGACTGGCCTTCCTTCAGGGCTGCAGCCCATCACCTCTGCAGAAAAGCGAAAGATCAAAGGGAATACATAGCAAGCAGTGTGAGGAAGGGAGAAGGGAGGGAGCGGGAGGGAGGGAGGCAGGGGAGAGGGAGTGGGAGTGGGAGGCAGGGTAGAGGGAGTGGGAGGGAGGGAGGCAGGGGAGAGGGAGTGGGAGGCAGGGAGGCAGGGGAGAGGGAGTGGGAGGGAGGGAGGCAGGGGAGAGGGAGAGGGAGTGGGAGGCAGGCAGGCAGGGGAAAGGGAGTGGGAGGCAGGGAGGCAGGGGAGAGGGAGTGGGAGGCAGGGAGGCAGGGGAGGGGGAGAGGGAGGCAGGGGAGAGGGGCAGGATCATCTTTCCCATGCTCACTGGAGAAAATCTAATTTACTTTTTTTGCAATTTTGAAAATAAAATCAGGGACAATATTAAGAAAGGAGAAAACATTTTTTAATAAAAATAAGTAAAGAGCAAGGCTGCTATGCCTGCCTCAGGGCAAAGCGCTGCTTCTCCGCCACGGCTCTGAGTCCCCAGCATCTTAGCCGGAGCCCTGCTTTGGCCTCCAGAGGTGATGAGGAGGGAAAACCCAAGCAGACAAGAAAGAAGACGGCTGCCCCAGAGAATCAGCCCAATCAGAGGACATCGGGAAGCTTCCAGGATGCCGATCCTCGGGGCCTGTTCAAAATGAACCAAGATTAGGGCTAAGTGTTGCTTTCCAATAAGTTTATCTGCCATGCTCAAGGAGGAACCAAAAGTAATAAGACTGGCCATTTGGTAATAGTGCACAGAGAAGGAGAGGGGGAAATTGTTGCTCAGCTGAATACAGTTCAAAATCTTTAAATTCTATAGAAAGTCCAACCAGTGCGCCTGAGACCGGAGATCGTCCATTTCTTTCACAAACCTAACCGTGTCCCCCCGTCCAGATCGCTTGTCACTCCCCCTGGGTCCACGTCACCAGTGGAAGATGAAGAGCCAGGCTGAATCTTGGCGTTATTTACTACAAGCGCACTGCACGATGTCTTCCAGTAATAAAAGCAGAATCAGTCAAGTCAACCCGTCACCCCAGCAACTCACACGAGGGCTCTTCCCAAAGCTCAGGGAAAACACCAGTTACGAAAACACCATGCATGCTTTTCAAATGTATTTTGCGCCAAAATAAACAGATCTTTTAACTCCATCTTCCAGGATTTGAAGTGCCCTTGTACTCTGACTGATCACTAGCCGACCTGTGGGCTTGCTGTTGGTCACGGGAAGCAGGAAGCACACTGGGATCATAATTCTCATCGAATCATTTATCAGATCAGAAAGGGGAACACTCGCAGCACCCTGGATTTCTCCCCCCCTTGGCTATTCGTGACAATGATGCGTTAGGTGAAGGCTGTGGATTCTGCCTCCCCCTCCAGCCCTACCCCCATCACTGCAGCTCTGGCAGCAGAGCCCACCCTCCCTCTCTCGCTAACCAGTCCACCAAGGCTCCCGTCTCCCGTCTCAGTGCCTTCCAGTTTCTCTCAGGCTGGCTGACCTGATCATCTGACCA